AAGGCCAAAACGAAGAACACATTCTCATAGGATTTGGGAACCTCTGCTTTCCCAGGATCTTGTGAGAAGGCTGAGTGATGTCACACCAGAAGTCAGGGTGTAAGGTGAATATTATTTTTACTTTTTAACTGCTATAACTTAGCAGTTAAAGGAAATAAGCAGACCCTGTAATTGTATGCACAGTTAGGATTTTTGCTGTTGTAGTCTTAACTGTATACAAAAATTAAGTGTATGTCCAGTTTTGCAGTGAAATAATAAAAAATAAAAAAACCACACTATATATATGGTATGTGTTCCTTTTTGCACAGCATACCGAAAAATAATTTAGTACAAATATTTCTTACCTTTTAGTTGTAGAGCAGGTCGTTGGGCAGACTGCAAGCTTTCTGTAAAATTTCAAAGTGACAGGAAACTCTGGTTGTCTCCATAGAAAGACTAGGGGCACTCTGAGCTTCCTCTCAATAACATACAATGCATCTAGCTCTTTAACCTTTTATTAGGACATACAGTGTTCAAATCTAGTTTACAACTTATAACGAGATCTGACAGCACAGTATTGACAGGGTTAAGTATGGTAACCTCCCAGCCCCCTTACATTCCAGAAAATTCAGTTTAGAGAAAACTAGTAATATAAGAAACAAGTAATAATATGTAAAGAGCACTTTTTAAAGTTACGCTATGTGAATGAGAACATGTAACATATATAAATTAGGCGTTATCCCAATTTGTAGGTTTTTAGATATACAATTGCTGCAGAGTGCTGCTTATTGAAAAAGTTATTTGATTAGACATTTGAGCCTGGTGGGAAATGTGGCTGCTAGTAGACAATTACCAATAGTAATCATATAAAAGGAAAGATTTCTTGGCAGAAAACATTCATCTGATTAGAGCACTAAAATCATTTTTCTAATATCTGTTCATTGGAGCGTAGTTTTTTTGTATATGACCTGTAGGTATGTAGTCCTATAATTATTCAGAAATAATTTATATCCCTACTGCAGTTTACAGGAAGCATCAAATGTAAATAAGCCAATAGTCTTGACAAGACACCCAGACACCTTCTGCATGCTTAGAGAAGAATTTTGGGGACATTTTTTATTAACCCTTGCAGTGGGGTTACTCCTGAACTGCAAGGGTTAAGTGCTCCTTTTGGTTTAGGGTGGAAAATAAAGTTATACTCACCTGATCCTTGTAGCCGTCTGAATGTTAGATCGCAGGCCTGAAGCCTTTCTCCTCCTCCGCTGCAGCAGTCTAAGGTCCTGTGAGTCATCATTTTCTATATACAGTGTATAGGACGTAGACCAGGGGCGCCCACTATTTTTCGTCTGGAGGTCTACTTTTTAAATGACGAGCTCATTGAGATCTACCAACGAAAAAACACCTGCATTCAGGGGCGGGAGGGGGCGTGGCGGTGCATTGAAGTCAATGGCACCGCAGCCAGGCTCCGCAGGCAGGCCCCTCGCCCACAGTGCGATCGCCTGCATTAGTGCCTGTGTTCCAGTCCAATGCGATCCGCAAAAATGCTGCGAGCACTATTTTTGCAGATCGCACTGGACCGGAATGCAGGCACTAATGTGCCTGCGTTCCGAGTGCGGGCGATCGCAATGTGGGCGATGCCATTGACTTCAATACAGCTCCACACCCCCTCCCGCACCTGAACGCAACGTAGAGGAACATACAATTGCTGCAGTAGAGGAGGAGATAGGCTAGAGGGAGCGTTGTCCCAGCTGGTCGGCTTTGAGGATCTGGTGAGTATATTTTTTCCTCCCTAGACCAAAATGAGTACAAAATAAAAAATTTCCCCAGACTTCTGCTTTAAAGTGAATCTTCCCATTCACGACAAGGTAACAGGTTAACTTAGCAGCCTAAGCTACTCATTCTTACCATTGCCATGCTAACCTGCTCCCCAGTTTGCTCTAGGAACAATTTATAGGGGGGGGCACATAAGATAACAGTCAGATCTGGGGGGGCACTAATCATTTTCATTGCATGTCGCAACCGCTGGGCGCCGAGAGCTGATTTAATTGCGGATGGCATCTGTGCCCTGCGGTTGCGACAGAAGCTGCATACAGCGTGTGCTGGTTACTACTTAAACCGGCGCGCCGTGTGCAGCTTCTGAGAAGATACACTATTAGCGTAGCGGGGAAGGCGGCTGCGCATTTTGCATCGCTTCCGCTACCCTAATAGCGTATCTTCTCAGAAGCTGCACACAGCGCGCCGGTTTA